TGACCTACCAGTATGTCTTTGGAAACTGGAGCACCCAGAGGAAACCTATTACAAACCTAGCGAGAACATGCAAACTCCACACGGACAGCACTCCAAGTCCAGGACCGAACCCAGGGCCCCAGAGCTGCGAGGCAGCCATACCAACCACTGCGTCACTGTGCCACCCTAAACCCAGATAAGATTTAGTTAAAATAATTGTAAAATTCTTCTGACATGCTCGTGTGTTATATTTATAGAGCATCCTCCCTCCAGTAGTTAGCTCTATAAGGCTGACTCACTACCACACGCGTGTCCTACTTATCGTAAAGTAGATCCTTTGTGCATCACATCAGTCATCATACAGTAGATGAAGAGATGAAAAGTCACTTAATATCTCGTCCTGAAAATAAGCAAGAGCAAGCAGCTATACTCTTGTTTTTGCATATCACATATCGCAGGGACCAAGTGGTAGCATTGCCACATTTTTAATTTTTCCTATCATATGCTGAAGCCATTTTGTTGGTGATAATGCAATTGAGAAAGAACATAAGAGGAACTCAAAAACCTCTTTACGGTGTTTAAGAATTCATATTACAAAATAAAAAACTCCTGCTTAAATGGCCCTTTTGTGAACGGATACCCCTTGCAATGCCATTGCACAGTGTGTGATGCTGCAGGCTCAACTGTGATAAAATTAGACACTAAATCAGATCTGCGCACTCTGTATCTTCCTCTTCTACAGTACACACTGGGATCCACTTGAAACACAACACTTTATACCAGAAAAATGAAGGACATTCAGAGAGATTTACAGTATCACTTTTTGGAGAAGTAGATTGCTCTCAGATAACACAAAAACTGAAAACAGGCTTCATTACATGGTGGTTGCAGGAACCTGATTTTCAAGCGCCAGATTGATGACATTGTACTGGAGGAAGCAGCACATGAAAACAAGGGTCAGGGAGTTCATAAAGGCTCATCATTTTTGTCAGCTAGGGAATCACAGAACCCATAATAAGGTACCGTGGATATATTGTAAAAATTGTTAAAAGCTTTAGACAGAGCTTGCTTGGAATACTGTATTCGTCTGTGGTCACCAGGCTATATGAGAGACATCACTGCCCTTGTGGCAGTACAAAGCAGAGCTGCCTGAAAGGACTGCCACACTCAGACAAGCTAAGGGAACTGAATCTTTTAGTCTGGAACAGACAAGTCTGGTTTCACAAACCAACATAGAAAAAAAAATAGAGAAGAGCTACTGCTGTAGACACATCTCGGATCTAGCTTTGGGCAAAAATGAAAATTAAACTCAGAAGACTGTGAAGAAGTGAAATGTTTTCATCAAACTCTGTCATGTACAAGAGGTGTGTTTCTGAGGCCTGTTCCATTTCATTATCACATTGGCATATTAAACAAGGAAGGATCTCCTTGCAGTCCGGTTCAGCACGCAGAGCTTCTGATAAAGAAACAGTGTGACCCTTCCTCAAAAACACATACAGACTCAAACACATAGTACCCCGACAGTCGAAGTGGAGAGAAATATGTCCATAAAATGTTAGCTAAAAAGCTATTCACTGAGCAATAAAGAGAGCTGAAAGAGCAAATACTGAGGACAGTGTGCTTATGTTGTTCGTGTATTCATATAGTCCCCATTGGCTGTGCCTTATTCCAATTTTTCAACACAATAATGATATGATGATGGCAGATGTTCAATAGAGACACTGCCCATTTAGTGATTGCATTTCATACTGTTTTATTTTAAATGTGATCTTCAGATATTTTAGAATATTTTTATGAGTTATGAGTGAATACTAAAAAAAAA